TCAAGCCCCAGAACATCATCATCAACTTGGCCACCAGAGAGGTCAAGCTAATTGACTTTGGTTGCAGCACCCTCCTCAGGGACACGGTCTACACCAAATTTAGCGGTGAGCCCACAGCCCAGGGTGCTTCCCGTACCGGGCAGTTTGTGAACAAGAGTCACGTGCTGATGACGAGGTGGCGGGTCACACCGAGTGTGCGTCCCCACGTCCGTGGCGCCACCGGTGCAGCCCCTGCATCCCTGGGGATCCGCGGGCGAGAATCCAGGAGCAGGCGGCATCTGCCTAATGAGGTGCGCCCGTATCCTGTTGTAGGAACACCTTTGTACTACCCGCCGGAGTGGTTCCGCTGGCACTGCTACCACGGCCGTCCGGCGGCGATCTGGTCCCTGGGCGTGCTGCTGTATGAGATGGTGTGCGGGGTCCTCCCCTTCCGGTGCTGCGAGGACATCGTCAGCGGGCAGTTCTTCTTCCAGCGCCGGATCTCTGTCGGTAGGTACCTGGCTTCGCAGCAGCAGGGGAAGGTTGGGGTTTAGGGGGTGGCAGCTGATCTCCCTTGGTCAGCTGGAGGAGGTGGCCCATGTCCTGCCATCCTGCTCTCCTCCAAACCGAGTCATGGAGCAGGAGGTCTGGGTGCAGCTCTGAGCGCACCCAGGCCTGGGCGCTGCGGACGGTGGCACGAGGTAGGCAGGAGCCTCCTGCAACTGAGCGGCAGTTCCCGGATTCTCCCCAGAATGCCAGCACCTCATCAGGTGGTGCTTGTCCATGAGAGCTCGCGACAGGCCATCCCTGGACGATGTGTTCAACCACCCTTGGCTGCAAACATCCACTGCCCCAGGAGACAGCCGCCCTGCACCCTCACAGCCTGAGCCAGCAGCTGGGCAAGTAAGCTGGGGGTGCCTCTTGGGGGGAGCGTGGAGTTTGGGGTTTTTGGCAGGTTGGGTATTTTGGTGGGGATTTGGGCTCTTGGGAGGTTGGGATGGAGTTTGGGGGCCTGTGGGGATTTTTTGGAGACTTTGAGGTTTTGGGGGTTGTTTTTGGGGAGGGACTTTGTGGGTTTTCCGAAGAGCTGGTGGTTTTGGGTGTTTGGGTGTTTTGGGAGTTTGGTGAGGTTGGGTGTTTTGGGGGGTGTTTGGGGATTGGGTGTTTTGGGGGGACTTTTGCAGTTATTGTGGGGCTTGTGGGGATTGGTTTCTGGGTTCTTTGGATAGCAATAGGTGTCACAGGGACACCTCATAAGAGTTAATTCTCCTCCTTGTAGCTGGGGCAGTGGTGAGGTTGGGCTTTAGTCTGAGGATAACGCTGGTAACACACCGATTGTATAGTGGTTTCTGATTAGCACTTACCCTGAGCAATGCTGATTCAGTCTCTCATGCTCTGCAGTGAGGAGAGACAAGACCTAACAGCAAAGCAACAGACAATGTGGCTACTCCAACACCAGCCACGAGCACTGCAGCTACTCCAGCACCAGCCACAACCACTGCGGTGACACCAACAATGGACACAGGCACCGTGGCTACTCCAATGGCAAGGACTGTCACTACAGCTACAACTCCAGCAACATGCACTGCTGCTATTCCAACCAGGGCAAAACCAGAAGTGTGGCTACTCCAGACTCAGTGACAAGCAGTGAGGCTTCTCAAAACCAAGCCACAAGCACTGCAGGTGCTACAAGTACAGTGACAGACACATCAGCCACTCAAACGCCAAGGACAGGCACTGTGGCTGGTGCAACCCAATTCAACATGCCCTGCAGTTAATCCAGCCCCAGGCACAAGGACTGCAGTTACTCCACCACCAGTTTTAAGCTCTGCAGCTACTCTATCTCTGGGAAGGAGCAATGGCTCTACTCTAAGGCCTGCCATGTATACAGTGGCTACGTCAACCCCAGCCACAAACACTGCAGCTACTCCAGTGCAAGCCACAACCACTGCAGCCTCTCCAACGCCAGTGACACACACTGCTGCTCCTGCAGCCCCATCAACAAGCAGTGAGGCTTCTCCAATCCAAGCCCTAAGAACTGTGCCTACTGCAACCATGGCAGCAGGCACATGGGCTACTCCAATGCCAGGGACAGTTGCTGTGGCTGCTACAACTCCAGTGATGGGCACTGCAGGTGTTCCAACCACATCAACAACCAGTGAGGCTTCTCCAGTGCGAGCCACAAGCCCTGCGGCTACTGCAACCCCAGTGACTGGGACAGAGGCTACTACATGGCAACAATAGGCATAAACACTGCAGCTATTCCAGCCACTGCAACAAGAACAGCAGCTACTGCAGTGCCAGCCACAGCAACGGGGCTACTCCAATGCCTGAGACAGACACTGCTGCTACTGCAACCTCATTGATGAGCAGTGAGGCTTCTCCAAACCAAGCCTCATGCTCTGCGGGTACTCAAAGTACTGTGACAGACACATCAGCCACTCGAATGCAAAGGACAGGCACTGTGGCTACTCCAGCCACATCAACAAGCACTGTGACTAATCCAGCCCCAGCCACAAGCACTTCAGTTGCTCCACCACCGGTTTTAAGCTCTGCAGCTATTCCGACTCTAGGAAGATGCAATGGGGCTACTCTAAGGCCTGCAACATACGCAGTGCCTAGATCAACCCTACCCAGAAGCACTGTGGCTTCTCCAACGCCACTGACAAACACTGCTGCTCCTGCAACGAGATCGACAAGCAGTGAGGCTCCTCCAATCCAAGCCCTAAGAACTGTGCCTACTGCAACCATGGCAGCAGGCACATGGGTTACTCCAATGCCATAGACAGATGCTGTGGCTGCTACAACTCCAGTGATGGGCACTGCAGGTATTCCAACCACATCAACAAGCAGTGAGGCTTCTCCAGTGCGAGCCACAAGCACTGCGGCTTCTCACTGTCATCCACAAGCCCTGCGGCTACTGTAATTCCTGTGACTGGGACAGTGGCTACTACATGGCAACGATAGGGATAAACACTGCAGCTATTCCAGCCACTGCAACAAGCACAGCAGCTGCTGCAGTGCCAGCCACAGCAACAGGGCTACTCCAATGCCTGAGGCAGACACTGCCGCTACTGCAACCTCATTGACGAGCAGTGAGGATTCTCCAAACCAAGCCTCATGCTCTGCGGGTACTCCCCATACCCACAACTGCCCCCCAGGTGACCCTCAAGTAACATCCTACACCCAAAACTGCTCCCAGGCGACCCCCTAGTGACCCCCAGGCACACAACAGTTCCCCAAGTGTCCCCCACATGAAATCCCAGACCCACAACTGCCCTCCAGTCATCCCCCAGACCAACAACAGCCCCACAACTGCCCCCCAAGTGACCACTCAGCCCCACAACTGCCCCGCAAGTGACCTCCCAGACCCACAACTGCCCCCAACTCCCCCCAAGTGACCACTCAGACCCACAACTGCCCCCCAAGAGAGCCCGCATACCTACCTCTGCCCCCCAAGTGTTCACCCAGTGACCCCCAGAGCCGTAACTGCCCCCAGATGATCCCCTCAGCCCTACAATTGCCCCCCTAGTGGCCCCCTGGACCCACAAGTGCCTCCCAGATGACCCCCCAGTGATTCCCCAGACCCAAACCTGCCTCCCAAATGACCCCCAAGTGACTCCCCAGACCCACAACTTCCCCACAAAGTGATCTCCCTGACCTACAACTGCCCCTCAAGTGACACCCCAGTGAGCCCCAGACCCACAGTGGTTCCTCAAGTGACCCCTACATTAATTCCCAGACCCACAACTGCCCCATGTGCCCCCCAAGTGATCCCCAACACCCACAACTGCCCCTCAAGTGACTCACAAGTAAATTCCTAGACCCCAAACGGCCCCCCAAGTGATCCCCCAGACCCACAACTGCCCTCCACTGACCCCCAGACCCACAACTGCACTCCAGGTGACCACTCAGACCCACAACTGACACCCCTCCTGACACACCAGATCCACAACTACCCAGCATGTGGCCCCCTGGACCCACAACGGCACCACAAGTGACCCCCAGCTGAACCCTCGGACCCACAACTGCCCTTCAAGTTACCACCATCGAGCCACAAGTACCCCCAAAGTGCCCTCCTAATGACTCCCCAGACCAACAGCTGTCCACCAAGTGATGCCCCCAGAACCAACACCGCCTCACCAGTCACGCCCCAAACCCACAACTGCCCCCCAAGTGAAGCACACAACTGCCCTCCAAGTTATCCCCAAGTGATTCCCCAAAACCACAACTGCCCTCCAACTGCCCCCAAGTGACCCCTCAGATCCAAAACTGGCTCCTGGTGACTCCCCATTCCTACAACTGCCCCCCAAGTGACCCCCCTGTGACTGCACAGACCCACAACTGCCCTCCAAGTGATCCCCAACTGAGCCCCCATACCCACAACTGCCCCACAAGTGACCACCCTGACCCACAACTGCCCCCCAAGTGAACCCCCATACCCACAACTGCCCTTCAAGTTGCCTCCATCGAGCCACAACTACCCCCAAAGTGCCCTCCTAATGACTCCCCAGACCCACAACTGCCCACTAAATGATGTCCCCAGAACCAACACTGCCTCGCCAGTCACCCCCCAGACCCACAACTGCCCCCCAAGTGACCTGAAAGACACCACTCAGGCCATACTGCTCAGGCACCAGATTTGCAGCTGCTTTGCTGGGTTAGGAAACTGCAGTGCCTTTTGCCTAGCCAGAAGGATGGGTTGGTTTAGTTTGCCTCTTGGATCAGTCTGAAGTCAAGATCCTCGCCTCTGTGTGTGCAGAGACAGAGCTTTGCACTCTGCAGAAGTGAGGATTCTGATGAGGTGAGGGGGTAAAAGGTAGATGCTCCTTCCTTAACAGACTTAATGCTTCGTAAGCATAAATGGAATGAAACAGAAATGGAATCGTAGGAAGGACTCCAAGGCACTCAGATTTATTCCACAAGAAGGCTTCCTGTGCAAACACGGCTCAGAATGAATCTGATCGCCAGCCTTTAAGTGCTGCTTCCAAAAAAAACAGGGGAAAATGGGCAAGAAGATTTTCAGAATTATTTCTTTTCCTCATCTCGAGCGAAGCAAAAGACCCAGCTTGTTGCTGAGCTGTTAAACCCAAATGAACAGATCAGCTGTGTAACAGAAAGAGGTGCAGGGACACAGGGCTAGGACTTCAGTTTTCCAGAGAAAAAGAGTGCTGTGCTTTGATTTGATTAACCCAGCTGTGATTGATGCAAGAAGCCTCAGCGTCTGTATTTCAGGCAGCTTGCTTGCACAAGTCACACAGTGTTTATGGTGAAGATTTCACGTGCCACACGCCTGACAAATTACTTTGCCCTTTTAAATAGAGAAAGAATGCGTTTCACATGGTATCTGCAAACTGTAAACAGCACTAACAAGAAGAGGACTTGATCTTAGAACGTGCTGTGTTTATTCAGCCCTGCAGATAGAAGAGATCCTTCAAGCCTGTGCTGTGGGCTTCAGGTTTTAGATAGGCCATAGTGCCTGCCCATCACAAATCCATGGATCTTGGGGACAAGTCATTTTCAACTCACAATCAACTGAGGGAAGCAGGGTAATGAGGACCTATTTAATAAACTTCAAATGCTCAGTAACACTAAGGCCATAGACAATAGAATCACAGAATATCTCCTTACTGAACACAAGTGTACTTTCCTGTCTTTCACACTGCTACCTCCCATGCCCTTCAAGATGCCTTCCTCAGCTTAAGTGGTTTACCTTTAATGCTTATTTCTATTCAAGCTGGTTTGAATCCTACTGACCCTTAAAGCTTTCACAATGTTATTAGAGAAACCCAAGCTGGATCAAACTGTTTTAATGAAGTCACCTGTTAGAAACAGGCATGTCAGGAGGTAAATTGCTCTTTTGTTAGATTTCTTCTCAATTCCCTTTATGCAGAGGTTGCTTTGGGGCTGCACCTGTGGAGCTATTGGTGACTCCCATCCAATGCAAGTGGGTGTAGTCACTGGCAGCAGATGTCTGCATTCAAGACATGGTGCCACCTGAAGAACAAGCCACATCACATCATGTCATGAAGGCTATCAAGAGGTTTTCAGTGTTTTCCTCCTTAGAGTCTGCAGCAGCAAAGTCACCAGAAACATTGAAGCTGACAGCCACAGCTGCTGGGACGGGTCCTTACAGATCAAAGGCTACTGAAGAAATATGAAGGCAACTGGAAAGAGTGACTTTACTGACAACTAAAACTAGGCCAGAATGGCACTAAGTTAGCTTTCAGTAAAATTAAAAAGCTGCTGTAAATTGTAGGTGTTGAAATCCTCCTGATTATGAACCCAGTCTAAGTTTTACCAATTTATCTCAAATGTCATCGAATGACTTCTGTCGACAGTTCTTTGTCTTTCCTGTCCTTATTACATTACCACTCAGGAAGTCAGAGGAATACATTTTCTATGAAAAATATTTTTACTCATGTAGTAGCAAAAAAAACATTGGCCATTTTTCAGAAGATCTAAGGTAACGTGCCCTTTTAATCATGAAATACAATCCCTTCCCAAGCAAAGTATCATGTAAAACCCAGAAGCTGCTAAATACAGCAAAATACAAGTAAATAAATTATACACACACGTGTTGGATATGAACAGTAGCCACAAAATCCCTACCTACTTAAAGGAACACCATCACCTCTACCCCCCAAAAAGCCAAACACACACACCCCAAAGCAAACAAACCAACCCACTGTTCCTTCCATTCCAACCCAAGCTCTTGTCGCTTCTCAGCTCCTCAGTTATTGTTAACTTTTTGCCCTCTTCCCATGCTCTTTGTGGTGGGATTTCTCATTGCAGATCCTCATTTAAAATTATTATCCCAGCTTCTGAATACCATCTTATCCCCCCCCACACAGCGCAGACCAAGTGCTTCATTCCTCCTCCTCCCTCCCACACTGACAAGAAAATAAGCCTGAGATCATGCCTGGCTGTGGCTTGTTCCTCAGAATCTCCATCTACAGGCAGACTACTCAAGTCTCTTTGTGCCAAAAAAAGTTTGTTCTTTCAGTTGTCTGTATCACTTACAGGCTGCTGTCTCTGTCAGCTTTTTTATTCTGTTTGTGCTTTGCAGTTTGCTGAAGGTAGATGTATATTCTGAAAATAAACTTGAATCTGTTAAAGTGGCTAACATACAGTGATGTTTCTGTTTTGTAAATCCAGTTCAGGCACAGGCTATCTATCTGTTTGGCAGCAGCGGAGGTGCCTTTTTGCTTGAATTTGACTGTTTAAGCTTTTAGAGTTGCTTTTGAAGGTGGAAGAGGGGTCAGGGTAGCATCAGATTCACACATTACTGTCTCTACTGAATCGATAGAAATGACCTCCTTTGGAGATTGAAGAATGTGGCATGAGCATGCATAAAGCCTCTCAGACTTTCAGGAGTGTGATCTTTTGTCTTTTGTGCATGATCTTCTAGTTGGCTATTGATATGTTTTGCTATTCAGGGATGACTACTTTAGATACATTTGCTTAAAGAAAGAAATCAAAAATCAATAACCTCCTTAGTGTCAGTGCACCTCTGCTGAAGTCTCTCTGATATTGCTAGAATTACTGTGAGGTTAAGTAGGTAGTTTTGTTTTGTTGTGTTTTGGCTGTGTTACCTAGCTCTGGAACCGGGCCAGCCTACACTGATTACTGCCTTTTTCCAATCTGGCTAGGTTTCATCCTTCAGCAGGGAGTATAGATGCTCATTCAGAAAAGCTTATCCAATAGGTGACAGCATAATTCATAAATATTTTCTTCTTTTCGCTAAGAATTGTAATCATGCATTCATGCATTAAAAAGCACTGATGGTCCCTCCCTCAGTTGGGAGACACACTGCCTTCCTGCAGTGTCATTTCTCAGCTGAGAGACAGAGCTTGATCTAAACAACAAGATTTTGTAGAATCATGGAATCATTTATGTGGGAAAGGACCCTTAAGATTGAGTCCAACAATTAACCAAACACTGTCAAGTCCAGCACTGTGCCATGTCCAGAAGTGCCAAATCTACATGTCTTTTAAATACTTCCAGGGAAGGTGACACATCAATACCTGTGGGCAGCCTGTTTCTTGTCCCCTCATCAGACAGGACAGGCAGGCCAGGACAGGCTGGGATCTCCTTTACCCCTGCTGAAGGAAGGGATTCAGCCAGGTCAGTTGAGGCATCTCCTCCTAGGATTGTAGCCATGGGGCTGGAAGGGGACTCAGCTCCCTCCCATGACCATTACAAACCCACGGGTCTCACTTCCTCAGAAGGTGAAAATGTACCATTATGTAGATGATGTCTTAATCAGTGGAGATTGCCCCAAAGAACTGCAGCAACAGCAGTGTGGCAAGCGCTCCGTGGTGCAGAGGTTGACGTTCCACCAAAGGAATGTCAGAAACCAAGCAGAAACCAGTCAAATCGGAGGGTACTTGGTGGATAGCAGCAGTGCAGTGATTGCTGCAGACACCTTCAGAAAAACAGAACAAGGGCAGATGCCCCAGTCTGGGAAGGAATTACAACAGCTTATGGGTCATCAAGGATACTGGAGGAAACATGGCCCTGGATTCTCTATCATTTCTTGCCCACTGTACTCACCGTTATGAAAGGGAAAACCATGGGAATGGAATCCAGAGCACGAGGAAGCAGGAAATACCTAATACAGGAATTAAAACCATACGTGTTCCTGGGGCCTGTACACTCCCACCGCTGTCTCATAGTAGAATGGGATTTTGCTGAGCATGGCTTTTCCTGTGATCCGTTCAGACTGGCCCTGATGAACCAAAAAAGAACTTTAATGTTCAAGTCGCCTCTTTCAAAGACACTGAACCGACATATTCTGAGTGGGAAAAGGGACTCCTGTCTTTAGTCCCAGCAGTAAACCAAACTGAGAACACTGATCAAGAACAATCGGTACAAGCCATCCATTCAATCCATTCAATTGACTGGACAGTATCCCAAAGGGAGCTGCTCCTCAGGATGGACTTGCACAAACCCACTGGCAGAAAATGGCATGCCTACCTACCGGGGGTTGCAGAGGAACTGAAATTACCTGAAGGACAGACTGAAGTTTCCAGACTACTGCCGATGCTTGCAAATGCAGAGCCATCAGAGTTACAACAAACTTTCAAACCCTCACCAAGTTTAGAAGCACATCCCTTTACTGAGGGAACACCAGCAGAAAATACCTGGTTCACTGGTGCCTCAGCAAAAAGGATCACAGAATCATAGAATCAACCAGGTTGGAAAAGACCTTTAAGCTCATCCAGTCTAACCCTTACCCCAGCACTGCTGAGGCCACCACTAACCCATGGCACTGAGGGCCTCGTCTCCACGCTGGGTGAACACTTGCAGGGATGGTGACTGCAGCCCTGCCCTGGGCAGCCTGTTCCAATGCCTGAGCACCCTCTGGGGAAGGAATTGTTCCTCAGCTCCATCTAAACCTGCCCTGGTGCAGCTTGAGGCTGTCTCCTCTTGTCCCATCCCTTGTTCCTTGGCAGCAGAGCCCAGCCCCTCTTGGCTCCATCCTCCTCTCAGGCAGTTGTAGGGAGCAATCAGGTCCCCCCTGAGCCTTCTCCAGACTGAACCCCTCAGGTTCCTCAGCCCTTCCCCATCACCCCTGTGCTCCAGGCCCTGCACCAGCTCCGCTGCCCTTCTCTGCCCCCCTCCAGCACCTCAATGTCTCTCTTGTAGTGAAGGACCCAGAATTGAACCCAGGAGTCGAGGTGCGGCCTCAGCAGTGCTCAGTGCAGGGGCACAACCACTGCCTCGGCCCTGCTGCCGCACTGGTGCTGATCCAGGCCAGGATGCTGGGAGCTTCCTGGCTGCCTGGGCACAAGCTGCTCATGTTCAGCTCCATCAATCAGCACCCCCAGCTCCTTTCCCATGAGCAGTTTTCAGCCCCTCTTCCCCAAACCTGGAGCGTTGCAGGGGGTTGTTGTGGCCCAGGTGCAAGACTGGGGCCCACGTTCTGGGGAGATGCTGTCTCAGGCAGTCGGCTCTGTCCCCTCTGCCTTGACAAACTGCCACCACAATCCACAAGTGGCCCGTGCCCACTGCGCCCAGAGCCTGGGATGCAAAGCACACAATTACAAGGGTGTCCCGGTCACACGGGGAACCCCAAATGTGGTTTTACACAGGGCTCTCACGCCCTTCAAACGCTCACGTACCACACATTTGGACAAAGACCAGCGCCCTCACTACCAATGACCAGTCCTGGTCAAACTCTGCCAGGCGCTCACGCTACTTCTGCTGCACTCCTGCTCTTGGCTATTGATGCAGATGCCCCTGGAGCCAGTCTTGCAAGAGATACTGATGAATGGTGTGCGGGACAGTGGGAGGCTTTCAAAGACA